TTCAAAAACGGGACTATTATGTTTTTCTTCCCGAAATAAAAGTTGTTACTGTCTTGTATGAAAAATATTGTCATGATTGAAAAATACTGTCATAAATTATAATAAATAATGTCATGTTAAATGTACTGCAACTATTTGGCAGTCACGCCTACAAGATAACAGTAAATACTGCCATGTTAGTCCTATTTTAGGAATAAAAAACATAATATTTCTTTTTTGAAAGGAATTCTAATTTCCATTTACTTCAATTTTGGGAAATCTAAAAACATCCTTACACCGTTCTAATTTTTAAACTCAATTGATTTGCTACAATGACCAATGTTAAAGTGACCGCAATGACTGATGATCTAGTGACCACATGTCAGTCATTTACCATTACAACACCCACAGGGGCGTAGGAGGGGGTGGGCCACACTGGGCTCTGGCCCAGGGTCGGTTGGCCTAATAGTATATAGGTTACATATAAAAAAAGTTAACTGGCCCAGTGTAAAAAAAAGCAGGCCCAGTGTTGTAGGCTTAAGCCTTAAGCTGCCCACTCCCTTTCGAGTTTGAAAGCAAAAGGCGTAAGAGTGGAACGATTAAAAAATTGAGGTGGGCTGTGGTCAATTAGTCAAACAACTGAAACAAGAGAACAACTTCACAACGTGCGACTTGAATTGTGAGGACTAGGGAGCGCGACTCTGTGACGGCTGCTACTGCAGACGAAGAAGGCGGACGTTTTGTCGGACGCTGGATCACGGAAAGTGGACGGACCGCCGGAGAATGGAGGTGGTCGGTGGATAGAGCTCCAATTAAAAGAAATATCTGAAATCTGCCCCTTCCTAGGAATAGAAGTAAATGTTCTAACCCTAATTTACGAATTGTTTTTTGAATTGTGAGTTGTGAGTCTTGTGACTGACGACTATATGATTGTATCTTAATTAGTCATGACTTGAATCAATTTATTTTGTGTTTATGTACTAGTTTTGATATTGTCATATTGTGCATTTTTTATTTTGTGTTAGACTGTTAGTTACTTAGTTTGTATATGTGAGTTTGTAAATAGTTAATTTGTTATGTATTTATATCATTATATGAATATATGAATGTCAGAATTGAGATTTCAGAATAATTTACTTTCATGTGTCAATGTTTTATTATTTAATATTATCTTAATACTTTATATTGATTTTTAAAAATTATTTGGATTTGATAGAGGAATTATGGCTACTCAACAGCCTCCTTTGAAGAAAAACAAAGGCAATTTGCATTCTTTCTTTAAACCTGCTAGTAAAGTGCAATGCGAAGGTGCTAGCGGGAGTCAAAATATTCCTGATGTTGAAAATCAGTCTTCTTCTACTCCGGTTGAGATTGAAAGAGATCCGGGTACAAGCGAGCATCAAACTATTTGTAATGTTGAAAACCAGCCTTCTTGTACTTCGGTGGAGATTGAAAGAGATCCTGAAAAAAGGGAAAAAGTATTTGATTGACTTTTAGACGAAAGGGATGAAGTGAGACGACTATATCTGATATCCGGCCCTTATCAACCAAAACTTCAAACATATAAGGGTCGGAAATATAAAGATAAAATTCGTCATTTTCAGTCGAGTTGGTATAATGAGTTTAATTGGCTAGAGTAATCTCCTACTACACACAAAGCATATTGTTTTCTGTGCTTTCTTTTTTGTGATAATGCGCATCCATCTAAGACTTCTGCATTAGTGAGCGCTGGATATGATGATTGGAAGAGAGTCCAACAGGGCAAGGAGTGTGTATTTCTAACTCATATTGGTACGACTTCTGCATCTCCTCATAATAAATGTGTGACATGTGCTGACTCTTTGATGAGTCCGTCTCAACTCTCAACATATTGATAAAGTCATTGAGAGAGTTTGCAAAGAGGAAGTCTTAAAAAATCGGTTACGGTTAAAGACAACAATCATGACTGTTCAGTGGCTAGCGTTGCAAGGATGTGCATTCAGGGGTCACGATGAGTCTGAAAAGTCTTATAATCGTGGAAATGTGATTGAGCTCATAAATTACACAGCAAAGTGGAATGCTAATGTGAAAGATGTTGTGTTGAATAATGCGCCAAAAAATGCCAAATATACTTCTCCGGACATCCAAAAAGAAATTTTATCACTAATGGCTAACAGGGTTCGTTGGTTGATACAAGAGGAAATTGGAGATTCTTGCTTTTCTATCCTTGTTGATGAAGCAAAAGATGAGTCAGAACGAGAACAAATGGCGATTATCTTGAGATTCGTGAGTGATACAGGTATTTTAACTGAGCACTTTTTTGCTATTAAAGGCGTTTTTGAGACTTCTTCTGAAACACTCAAACATGAGATTATGAATGTCCTGTCTCATTTCAATCTTCAAGTTCACAAATTACGAGGCCAAGGATATGATGGTGCTAGCAACATGCGAGGGCAGTGGAATGGATTGCAAGCATTGTTTATTAATGATTGTCCATTTGCGTATTATGTCCATTGTTTTGCTCATAGGTTGCAATTGACATTGGTGGCAGCAGCAAAGCAATGTGATCCTATTTGGAAATTCTTTTTTGTATTGGACAAAGTCATTAATATTGTAAAGTCTTCTGCTAAGCGCAATATAATGATACTGCAAGATGCTCATAGATTAGAAATTGATACTATGTTGGAAAGTGGGGAGCGACAATCTGGACGAGGGGCCAACCAAATGTCATCATTACAGCGTTCAGCTACAACTCGTTGGGGCTCTCACTATGATTCTGTTCTAAGTATGCTTGAATTGTATAATGCAACTTGCACGGTGCTTGAAAATATTGCTTGTGATGGGGCAAATTCAAAGACCCGAAATGAGGCAGAGGGAGCGTGCTCAAGTATTCAAAGTTTTAATTTTGTGTTTGGTTTGCATGTCATGAGAGCTATTATGGGCATAACTGACTTTGTTTGTCAAACATTTCAAAAGCAATCTGTTGACATTTTATCTGCACTTGGATATGTTTCAACTGCCAAAGCTCTTCTTCGGGATTTGAGGGATAAGGGATGGGAGGATATGTTTAAGCAAGTAGAAGATTTTTGCTTAAAACATAAAATCGTTATACCTGACATGAAGAGCAAAATGCGCCGTGGAAGAAATGAGGTGGATGTTGAGCACAATTACCATTTCGAATATTTCAGTCCATCGATTTTCAAGTTGCGGAGTTAGAATCAAGGTTTAATGAGACATCAGTTAGACTTATGGAACTTAGTGTGGCATTGGATCCGAAGAACTCTTTTGAATCTTATAATGCCGATCATATATACAAGCTTGATGTGGAGTTTTATCCCGATGATTTTGAGCAACACGAGAGGAACGCTTTAATGAGTGAGCTCACGTTTTATCATGCTCATGTGGTAAAAAACTCTCAATTTCAAGTTCATACTATTGCAAATTTATGTGAAATGTTGGTGAAAACAAGAAAGGCTGAAGACTTCAAAATGATTACAAGATTGATACTTCTTGTATTAACATTACCAGTTTCTACGGCCACTACTGAGAGAGCATTTTCAGCGATGAAGCATGTCAAGACTGTGATTCGAAATAAGAGGGCTGACGACTTTCTAGCTGATAATTTAACGGTTTTTATTGAAAGAGAACTTGTTGGCACTATAGATATAGATTCTCTTATCGACGAGTTTGCTAAATTAAAAGATCACCGAGTGCAATTAACTTTGTAGCATAAAACATTATCTCTTTTGTAGTAACAACTTTTACGATTAATTGTGGTTAATTTTATTTTTTAGTATTTATTAAAAGCTTTGTCTTGAGCTCCGGCCCAGCCTTCTTTATTGTCCTGGCTCTTACAAGGGGGACGGAGGTAGTACTCCTTATTACTCCCTCCGTCCCACTAACATTGTCCCATTTTACCTTTTCGGGAAGTCCTACTAAGATTGTCCCATACCAAATTTGGTAAAGATTGTGTGGCTCTAAATCATTTTTACATTATTCTTACTTTATCAAAGTAATATTGACCATACAAACTCATTATTCTTAATAATCGTGATAGCTTCTTGATTGGGAAGGAGGTAGTATATAAGAGCCACCAAGGGGAGTTTATATAAGGTGATATGATGAGTAAAATCCTTCATTCTGTAAATGGTGAAGAAAAACTAGTGAAAAGTAGTTGGCACAGATGAAAAACTAAAAATAAGAATACTCGATGTGGGTAGGAATCAAACGCAAGTGTGTTGTAAGGAAAGAAGAGGGCGCTGCCGCTGGACTACTTGGTAAGGTTGGAATACTATGACGTCAACTGTATATAGTACACTACAGTAATAGGAATTAAATAAAATAATTAAATAATAACTTTTATTTAATAAAAAAGTTAGTTCGGTTCGGTTTGAACCGATTTTCAAACTCAAAGAACCAGTTCCAAACCGATTCATATTCGGGTCCCAACTTTCGGGTCCCATTTAAGTCGGTTCAGTTTCGGGTAAGTTTTTTATCGTTCGGTTCGGTTTTTTCGGTTTGATTTTCGGTTTTTTGGTTAAAAATTTCAGCCCTAATAATAATAATAAAGTAAAGTTAGAGTTACTTTTGTAACTGTATTTGCTAGAATTACTGTAGAAGACCACTTTAGTTATTTTTCATATTTTTATTAATAAAATACGTAGTATATTTTAAATATATTTTTTCATAAATTAGCAGAAACAATCAATTCAGCACTTCATATAAAACTTCATAAATTTCAGAAGAATCGACCCATTGAGTCGATTTTGGTATCATTAGCTATAAGTCTCATTTTGTCTATTCCAATTTCCAAAGCCTCTAGTCTTATTTTTGTCATTGCTTCTTTTTATATTTCTTCTATTGAAAAACGCCTATTTTAAGATACCTAAAAAACAACTGTAAAAGAGAATGCATGAATGGTTTCTCCCAACCACAATATTTTTGTCATCAACGCTTATTGTTGTAATTGCTTCTTTTCTTCACTAATAGACTATTTCTATAAAACCCACATACCAGAACCTATACTCTTCACATGCAAACGTGTGGGTTTCAATAATGAGCTTTTTATCGGTTTTTGATTTAGTTCAATTTAAAACGAACTTTAATTGGCATATATAGACATGAACATAGTCTAGTTCAGAGCCAATTCCGGATTTCCGGTCCTAGGCTGACCTAACTAAGAAACTAGAGAGACCGGGGATTATGATTTATGACCTATATTTGTTATTCTGGTCCAAACGCCAGTTCCCGTCCCAATTTATTTATTTTTCATATCTTTGTAAACCCTCCCCACACCCCACTTCCCACCGCTTTTAAGTTGTTTCCTTGACATAATGCAAAAAATGGGACCACTGGAAACCCGAAACTGAATCGTTTATCCTCCCGAGTACTAATTTTGACCCGGAACAAAAATATCCCAATCTGGTCCAGTCCCGGGACCGTATCCCCTAGGCACATTGCAACACCAGCCCAGAATATGAATCCAAACAAACATACCAACACAAGTATATTGAACATTTTTTCATTCCAAATTACAATAGTACAAGTGTAAAAGAGAATGCATGAATGGTTTCTTCCAACCACAATATAACCCAAAAAATGTTGGTCAGCCAGATGAACAATGGAAATAACCCTACCTTTTTGTTTGATTAAATTGAACAACTTCATTTAAGAAAGTTTGGCTTCTTATTCGTTTAATGTAAACTGTATGTTCATGTAAATCTTGGAAAATACTAATGTTGAATGTAGAAGGCTTAAATAGTACCGCATCATCTCTTCGAAACTTTATCACCTTTCTATTTTTATTGTCTAGTATTTTTGGCTACTTTCCTTATATTTAAGTCATTTTTTGTCCTTAACCAGGCAGTTTGGGTCAAACTTCACTCAAGCGGTAAAAGCCACTAAAGCAAGCTTATTGTTAATGAAGTAAGATGGTATGCCTGCTTATGTTCTATAAATCTTGTATCTTTAGAAAGACCGATTCTTCGACCTGGGTGGTAAAGCTTTATTTGCTGGGTTGGAAAGATAATGATTACCCTTTCAACAAGGGAAATAACCCTACATTTTTGTTTGATTAAATTGAACTTCATTTAAAAAAGTTTGGCTTCTTGTTAAATTAAATTGAAGCTGTATATTCATGTAAATCTTGGAAAATACTAATGTTGAATGTAGAAGGCTTAATTAGTACCGCATCATCTCTTCGAAACTTTATCAACTTTCTATTTTTATTGTCTAATATTTTTGGCTACTTTCCTTATAATTAAGTCCTTTTTTGTTCTTAACCAGGCAATTTGGGTCAAACTTTGTTCAAGCGGTAAAAGCCACTAGAGCAAGCTTAGGATGTTTTCTTTTGGACTGAAATTTGCTGGTCTGGTCTGGTCTGATCTGTTTATGTCTGGTCTGGTCTGTTTAAGTCTGGTCTGGTCTGAACTGGTCTGGTAAACGTCTGGTCTCTGTGTATTTTATAACTACGGAAGTCTGGTCTGGTCTGTTTAAGTCTGGTCTGGTCTGGTCTGTTTAAGTCTGGTCTGGTCTGTTTAAGTCTGGTCTGGGACTGAAAACAGTCCAAAAGAAAACATCCTTATTGTTATGAAGAGAGATGGTATGATTGCCTGCTTATGTTCTATATATCTTGTATCTTTAGAAAGACCGATTCTTCGACCTGGGTGGTAAAGCTTTGTTTGCTGGGTTGGAAGAGCGGAGGTGAAGGAGAACCTGAAAGATAATGATTACTCTTTGAAGCACCTTTAGCATTCATATTTGTATAAAAACAGAATGCTTGGGCTGACCAATGACAGTTTAGAATGTGTAGCTCTGTTAATAATCAACTTGCTTTCATCCCTACCTACTAAGTAAAGGGGTCCAGTCTGACTAGCTGGATCATCGAAAGACTTCCATTAGTGAATCAATATAGCATTTTATGCTGCACAAGATCCATGTCAATAAAACAAGCATGTTTCCAATACAACTAAAACCAGTATCACAGTCTATAGGCACACTGTAGTAACAAACAAAGAAAATAACAACTTTCACCAATTATCATTTTATCTCTAGGTCATGTTCCTCAAACAAGCTCCCGTGTGTTCCCGTGTTGATTTTTTCCTGTGAAGCCTTTTGTCTATTGTTTACATTGTTTTTTCTTTTTGTATGTTGTGTCTTATGTGTGCCTCATAAGTCATAACAATTTTTACTTAATACTTTAGATGATTTAATTATTATCCTAAAGGCTTAGCAAAGAAACTGAGAACACATAAAGGAATATGCAGGCCAAACCATAATCAGCCAACTACTAAAGAGAAAATAGCAAAAAACTTAATAGTAGCATACTAGCATCAGCATTTTTCTAAGAACAACAGCATCTCATGTTTAATTTTTCAAAGTTGAAAAATACTAATCCAAAACATGCATAAAAAGGAACTGAAGTTGAAAGATACTAATCCACGACATGCATCAAACAGAACTGACATCTACAAAGTTACCTCTTCATAGCATCAAACAACAATCTAGTCTGTAGTGCTACTAAATCTGCAGCCTTCACACAATGTGCAACTTGTTCTTCCAATAGCTTGGCCCATTTCTCCTCAACCTCACCAGCCTGGGAACTCTCGATCAGATTGACTTTTTCCTTCAGCATATCTAATGTCTCCTGAGTACTGAATGGATAGTTTTCCTTATTGAATGATCTAACCAAGCATGGATATTTGGACTGAAAATCCCCTGTCTCATTCTTAGCTTCACCATTAATTCCATATTTCAGAAAAGCCTGGTTAAGATTTTTCTTAGCAGTAGTGTGTTCACCTTTCCCCACTTTTCCATTAGCAGCAGGCTGGCTGTCTTTTGCCTTAGAGGAAGAATGGTTGTCTTTACCCTTAGCAGCAGTCTGGCTGTCTTTTGCCTTTGAGGCAGAATGGTTGTCTTTACCCTTGCCAGCGGTCCGGTTGCCTTTTCCATTAGCAGCAGTCTGCTTATCTTTTTCAACAACGGCAATTTGTTCATCATGTTTCTCAACAGCACGTTTTTCATCTTCTTCCTCTGGATGAGTGTTCTGCTTCTTTTTCTTCTTCTCTTTTTCTTTATCCTTATGAGCAGTAGTCTTCTTCTTTTCACTTGCTGCTTTTGGTGTATCCATAATGTTGGTAGATTCAATAGACTTTTTGGAGTTGCTTATTTTGTTTACTTCCGAAAGCCTTTTCACCTTCTCGTTGGCAAATTTTGCCTCTGGTTTGGCAATATCACCAGTACCACCCGGACTTTTAGCATTGGTGTTGCTCTCAGTTCCCCAGATCTTTGCTGAGAGTTCATAAACCTTAGACTCATGAGGCTTAGCAGAAGTAGGGACATCTCCTTTCTCATAAAGGGTCAAGAACTTCTTTTTAAGCCTTTTAATCTTATCTTTGATCTGAGCCTTTGAAAACGAAATGTCCAATTTATCCATAATGAAGTCATTGAAAGCAACAAAATCGGCATTAGGATCAGTCCCTGTTTGAGCCTTGTAGTCAATCATACCTTTGAGCATAGCAATCTGATCATCGTTACTCCACAGTCGGTTGTGCGCAGACTTCTTTTCTTTCGTAAGGACGTCTTCTTCGTCAGATCTGCTTTTCTTCTTCCTGGATTCTTCCTCTACGGTATGCAATGCACGCTTTAGATGTGGACTTGATGATGGCTTCAAAGATCCAGGAACCTTTGAAGAGGAAACCGAAGGTTGCTTGGGAGTGAGATCGGGCTGCACGGTGATGCCGGCGGCGGATGGTGGCCTGTGACTTTCCTGGGAATCCGAATCGGATTCCTCGTCGGAGGCTTCCGGTGACGACTGAGGTTTCTGGGCAGATTTTTTCTTGAAAATTGGAGGTGCGCGTTTTCTTTTTCCCGGTTTCTTTCCTTCAGAAGTGTCATCGGATTCTGATTCAGAATGCTGAAGTTGATCGATTTTCTTTTTTTGCTCGGACTTAATACCGTCTTGCTCAGAAGATGATGCGGAGGGCGGCTGATCTACAAGGCGGGTTTTAGATTTAGGTGCCATGGCTTCGGGTGAGGAAAAGCCGAAACTCTGAAGTGTAGGATTGTTCTACGCAGAGTTGTTCTTATTAGGGTTTTTTAACTTTGGTTACTGGTAAGAATTCGTGAACCGTCCTTTGTTTTGACCGCCCGTTCCTTCAACCCAGTCATGGACCCGGGCCGGGCCGGTTCCGGTTCCGGGCCAGGCCCGGCCGGGCTTTTTTTTTGGGAAGGAAGGCCCGGGACCGGCCCGGGTAGCCACCGGGTCCGGTCCGGGTCCGGGCCGGGCCGGGCCTCCGGTTCGGTTATATTTTTTTTTTTTTTTTTTTTTGCTTTCCTAACCCCCCCACTCACCCCCACACCCCCCAAACCCCCAAACCCCTCCTAACCATCAAGCCCAACTTGGCTAACCCCAAAAAAAGAAAAAAAAAATTAAAAAAAAAATCAATTCGGCCCGGGCCCGGGCCCGACCCGGCCGGGCCGGTTCGCCAAATTCAAGGCCCGAGCCCGGACCCGACCACCCCACCGGGCCTAGGCCCGACCCGGACCCGGACCCGAGAACCGGGCCGGTTCCGGGCTCGCACAGTGGCGGGCCGGGCCGGTCCCGGGCCGGGCGGCCCGAACCGAGTCCATGCCTACTTCAACCCCGTCCTTTGTGTCAAGTGAAACAAGATTTTTAGTGTGATCATTTTCCGTCTGAGATCAGATCAGATTTAAACAAATCAGATTAGATTTGATCAGATTTAAACAGATCAAATCAGATTTGATCAGATGTTTATCAGGTCAGACCAGACCAAACCAGACTTACACAGACCAAATCAGATCATACCAGAATTAAACAGACTATCCTTAGTGCATGTGACGAGTTATTAGTTATCAATTACGGAGTACTATGATAGGACTTGTAGTCTACTTTGAATTTGTTGATGTGGTAGAGTAGTGTCATCTTAAAGTTCAGGTGGAATTAGTCTTGGACTCGGGTCGGGCCGCTCGGCCCGCTACTGTGCAGGCCCGGCCCGGTGAACCGGGTATGGTTCCGGGCCTAGGCCCGGTCCCGGGGGTTAGGGTGGGGCGGTCCCGGTTCAGCCCACTCTTTGGAATCGGCCCGGCCGGTCCCGGGCCCGGTTCAGGTCTTTTTTTTTCATTTTTTTGGGCTTTTTCCTGAGTTGGACTGGGTGTTTGCGGGGGAGGGGGGTCGAGTGGGGGGGTTGGGGGTTAATTAGAAAAAAAAAAAAAACATGGACCCGGTGGTAACCCGGGCCGATCTCGGGCCTTCACCCCAAACATCAAAAGCCCGGATGGGCCTAGGCCCAACCCAGACCCGACCCGAGTCCAACACTAGGTAGAATTCTATGTTGACAGTTTGATGGTTAATAATTCACGTTGCTTCTTTGAAGGTAGTTGTCTCAGAATTTGATAGTACGATTTTTTATTGAGATTTGATGGAGTCAGTTAGAAAATAGTTGGATTTTAAGTTATCGATTGATTGTAACTGCAAACTATTGATTTTTTTTTACTCCAGGAGGGTCTGGGAGAGGGGGGCTGAGGGGAGTCTGGGGTAATCAAAGCTGAAACTCACTCCATTGAGTTTCAAACTCATGTGTGCCTAGTGAGATTCGAACTCGAGACCTCCCACTAGGCACAGTAACCTCGCAACCAGCTAGGTTGGAGTGTTTGGTTAACTGCAAACTATTGATTGAATTAATACAATTTGGCGTTTTCCCTTTCAACAAAACATGTTAAATCATTTAATAACTCCTCGAGTAAATCTGAACTGATTTGAACCAGTCGCGCCTAAAGAGTTTTTTTATTATCTATATTCATAAAAAGCAGAGTGGAAAATGGTGAAATTCCTGCCCAAAAAAACGGGTAAAAATACAGGTAAATGGGTTGGTTGGTCTTGCCACTCAGCCATAAATAATACTATGTGTTCTCTTTATCCCTTAAAATTTTGTCATCTTTCCTTTTTGGGATGTCTCAAAAAACTTTGCCACTTTATCTTTTAATCAATTATTTTTTGGATTCTATTATTTCTCTCTCTTCTGCACAAGCATCAACCACACAATTTTGAGTTTTGACTTAATTATTCTCCGTGTTGATCTAACTTCACAAAGTTTTAAGGAACCGAGAGAGTATGCAGTAAATGAATTGCTTGGTCTTGGGATGTTGGCAGTATGCCTTCGTAAACACAAAAAGGTTCCATAATCCATATATACTGTTTATGGAAAATGAAGGTGATATAAATCTGTCTCGGTTAATGTGTGGAACAAAATTGATTTGACGAATGATAAATATATAAATAAATGTAAAAAAATATAGGGAAAATGGAAACTAATAATCCAACCTTTTAGCGGTCTTTTTTTAATAGTCTACATTTTCGTTATTCATGAATAATCCAACCTTTGCACCTCATCTTCATTCACTGGTCCCTGACCGGTTGATGACCTGTTATTACAAGTTATTTTTTATCTTTGCAAAATATTATTTTTGTGAAAGGTGGAATTTATGGTATAATAGTTTGAAGAGATAAGAAAATAACTCGGAATAGCAGGTCATCAACCGGTCGGGGACCAATGAATGAAGATGAGGTGCAAAGGTTGGATTATTCATGAATAACGAAAAGGTCGGACTATTAAAAGAAGACCGCTAAAAGGTTGGATTATTAATTTCCATTTTCCCAAAAATATATACAACATCCAAAGAGCATCCCTGTAGCTTAAGTATTACAAAGACAAAAATTGCTTAAGCATCAAATTAAAGAGTTTGAACATTACACCGTTCATGTATAGTCTCGAAACCTTGCCCATATTTTCTCAATAATAAACACCAACCCAGAAAATCAATTGTTTCCCTAACAAAAACAGTTCTTTAA